ATTATAATATGTATATATATGTGGGTAATTATATATATATATATATATGGGTAATTATGTTTATATATTAATGCATATATTTAGACGATAATAGGGTAAATACAACTCCTGTAGAGCTATGCACATGTAGACTTGATACGGAAATCTAAAGTGTCAGTAAAGTGTCAATTCAGACTAGCTCCTCATTCGAAATATTATTCTTTCTGACTGCAACCAAACCGAAGACCCCACGATCTCTGCTGTTCAAACTAATAAATTGTGTTTGTCTGTTTTTTTTGCAATAAAAATCGAGAGCTGCACCTTCTGTAGCGCAACCAAAGTGTCTGTCTCCGAGGCAGAAAATGGCCTGGCGACCTGCAGTCCGGGTTGTACCAGATGCCAAGCCCAGGTCTGCACCGCCCCCGGCCGGCAGAGCCGAGATCGTCTCAGTCGCGAGAGCCAAGACCGGCTTTGCCCACCAGCACCGCGCTCGAAACACACAAGCCAGCCGCCATGACGTGTGTGGCCGGATCGCAAATTCACATCTCCAACTTCCTGATTCCAGATTTCGGTTTCCGGCTGTCGGCTGTCGGCCTCCTCTCTTACACCAACTCCGTGCCCCACGAGGCTATGAAGAGGGTGGAGAGAAGCAGGTTCGCTTATCTTCCTCCCACTCTGGCCAGTCCACCTCGAAATTCCCACTTCATGCACACTTCAACTTGACACTCTTCAACACACGCACACCAAATTCTGCTAATTGGCGCTACACGAAAGGGACGCAAATGCACACAGTCCAGCTGGCAGCCAGGGAGCTGTCCGGCAAACGGGCCCACCGTTTCCCCTTTCCCTCGAGCACCGAATTGGTTGTCATGGTCGTCTATCGCAGAAACGTGATTGCCCCACACCGACACACACAAACAGGCACAGGAGGAGGAGGCCAGCTGGAAACTGTCACAAACTATACCGATCGGAGAGTTTCGAGCCCAAGAAGATAAAATGACAAACCGACAATTGCATATCAACCATGCACACCGACACATAATATGTAGAAGTGTATGCAGATAAACGGATAGATATATAGATAGACCGACAGAAAGAAATATAGACAGATAGTTAAATAGAAATAGAGGAAGACTGCTTGATAGACATATGGTAGATGTATAGATAGATAGATAGATAGATAGATAGATAGATAGATATATAGATAGATAGATATATAGATAGATAGATAGATAGATGAACTAGCGGAAAAAGGGACACACACAGAGGCGTTGATGGACGAGCACTTGCGTGGGCACAGGGACGGAGGGATGATGCAGCGAAACGGTGGATGGATGGATGGACGAAGGGGCAAGTGGCCACAACCGGATGGCCGGGATGCTGGAGATGGGCGTCAAGAGGGGCTCCACCGTCTCGCAGAGCCACAACAAGAGCCAGCGACGGAGCCTCAATCGGCTTCGGACTCGAACGAAGCCAGCGACGACAGCAGACACCGTCTCCGTCTCGGTGCCGAGTCCAAAATGGCGGATGAAGAGGGCGGTGCGTGTACATTTGCACATCCCATTTCGGTTTGCCTCTGTGGTCAAAAGTGATGCAAGTACGTACGACAACCAGCCTCAGCGCCCATTAAAATATTCGACATATTACTGAAGGCTTGTAAGTAGACAGTCGGGCACATTCTGTCACGGGCGAGGCTTCCCAGAATTCACGAGATTTCTTGTAATTTACCTTTTTCACTTTATGCTTAATGCAAATATATATATATATATAGGAGGAATATTGCACATTATTTAAAGTTATTTTACCACAACATAATCATGCTCATTTAAACCACCTTTATTTTTGCAAAATAATGCTCTGAAGCTCATGATTAATGGGTCAAAGAAAACCAAAAAATAAACAATAAATCATATGAAATCTACAAAGTGCCAATAGAAACACACAAAATAAACTAAGCGTAGATTATAAACATGTGTTTATGGATTACTTGATGTGCCTCTTAAATAAATACGAAAAAAACACAGACAAAAACTACAAACCCACGAAAACATGAAAGCCATGAAATGTTATCAAGATTAGACACGCACCATACCATGAAGAATATACAAGACAGGTCATCTACCTATCCACCAATCAGCCTATCCATCTATTTGCATAACGATTAATAATTATCAACCTATCTATACATCTGTACATCCATCCAAGCATCTATCTATCAAGCAGTCTATCTCTCTTCCCCTCTATCTATCTATTCAATTATCTGTATATCTATTCATTAATCTATACATATTTGTATCTATTCTGTATCGGTGTGCACGATTGACATACAATTGTCGGTTTGTCATTTCGTCTTCTTGCACTCAAAGCTCTCCGGTCGGATTGCTTTATCGTTGAGTCTTCTTCCATTTCTAGATAAACTGTTTGGTGAAGAGATTCGAAGTTCGCTTCCACCAGAAGACGACAGCCGACTCCTCTTGACCAGCTGTCAATTGGTTTTAATGGAACATTCATACTGACGCTGTTTCCAAAGTGATCTCCTTCGATTCCCGTGAAAAGATGCTAAGCTTTCGTGCGTCACATGACGAACATCATCACAGCGAGGTAGTCATCGTCACAACCGAATTCAAGCTAACGAGTCAAGAAAACTACAAATTTGTATTTCACATAATGTACTTCCTAATTGTTGTAGTCAGAAAAACTCGGAAATAGCGTCAGCATGAAACTTTCAGTAAAGCCAATCGACAGCTGGTCGAGAGGAATTGGCCGTCGTCTTCTGGTGGAGCCGACCTTCGAATCTGTTCACCCAACACTTCCACTCGAAATGGAAGTAAGCTCAACAATTATGAAACAAGAGATTCCCTGAAACCCAACTTTTTTCGGAATGCTTTATGACAGTCTCCAGCTGGCCTCATATATATACATATATATATGTGTGTGTTTGTGTGTATGTATATATAAATTGAGGGTTAGAGTCTTGGTAGTCTCACATAAAAGCATGAAAAGTAAAGTAAGTAGTATAGTATGAGTAGAAGAAGCAGGGATGTAAAGTATTTTTAACTGTGTTAGAAAAATGACTACCAACAGACTGCCAGAAACGCAGAAAGGAGTGCTTGCGAATGCTGGTAGCCCACTCAGCGAGAGCGTTGGTCCAAAGACTGTGAAGGGTCGCCAGACACACGGCAACGCCACATCTCAAGACCAAGTATTAGAGTCAGAGAAACAAGCTTGACCCAGCTCCGGTTTCGTTAGTCCTGGCCCGATTGCAAGTGTACAGCGACTAGGAACATTGCGCAAATGGCCACAAATTAGACGTTTCTAGCTACATATTGATGTACATCTATTTATATTTGTATTTTATAAACTGTATTTTGGATGTTAAACTACACTGAATGTGCTGTTGCCTGTAAACACTACAAAACTGGTTAGAAAATGCGAGTATCCATATAAATTGGAAAACAAGCAAGATTAAGTAATATAGCAGTAGTATAAGTAGTAGTAGGGAGGCAAGCCTTAAAATTCGCCTCTGCACCAACACAGCAAGACGGTTGATGCCCAAGACCTGCAGGGTCAAAATACCACAAGCTCGACTCCACCTCAGGACCGGACAGAAGGGTCTACAGGGTGACAGCTTCCTCGGTCGAAACCGAGTATCCCACCCGCCAAAGCGTGGTAGGTGCACACTCTACGGACACCAAGTCGCCTAGGAGACGTGAAAAAACAGGATCGAGGATGCTTTCAAAGACCGAACTGACCACAAAGCAATGCAACTTTTGTGTAGTTGAAGACATTAAATACCGCGATTGTCAGACAGAAGCCCAGTGAACGGACGAAAAGGTTCGTCTACGTCTGTCTATATGTATGTATGTATGTATGTATGCATACATGCATTCATAAAATATTGTCCTTTTTCTACGCATGTATGTAGGTATGTATTTTCGTGACTAGCTGTATGCATGTGAAAGTATGTCAATGTCTGTCTGTACGTGTGTAAATATATATTTTAGCACGTCTATATATCTGCATGTATAGATGAATGTATGTCTGTGCAAATGTAACAAAGTGTATCACTCTCTGTCTGTATGTGTGTGAATGCCTGTCGGTCGGTCTGTATGTCCGTGTGTATGAATGAATGTTTGTCTGTTTGTTTTGCTTTTTGTGGCATAGTCTCTTGCGCACAATAAAAGAACACCCCTACCCGCCAGGCCGCAGTGTGTAGTAGACACACAGACACACATACACACAGACGCACACCAAAGACACAGTACCGTTCGAGTGGATTGCATGAGGCTGGCCAGGTATGATGCACGTCGAAAGTGAGCGAGGCAAGCAAGTTGAAGCCAGTCGCTGACACTCTGTATCCCGTATCCGCCGACCTGCAACGGCCTGGGTTCGAGTCCCGGAGTGAATTGTGCCCGAATGCGTCATCATTCCACGAGTCTGCTGACCACGAGGTCACGGGGTCAGGACACCCAATTGAAGCTGACCGCGTCGGCCTCCCGCTCTTCCGGTGGGATTCCATTTGAGATGAGGAAATCTCATTTCCACTTCCCATCTTAGGCGCTGGATGATCTGTGAGATCAAGATGACCCGATCAAAATGCATGAGGATTGCAGTCCTGCCAGTTTAGCAATATCTGCATTCTGCATAGTTCGTTCAAGGTGTTAAGGCGACTGATAGCTGAATTTTCACACAATCATGTGCGTGAAGCCTACAGTCCCATTGCATTTCACACATTCTTGCTGGCCAAAAGGCATTCACATGCAGAATGCACTGCCGTTTCACCGCAATGCTACAAGTAGAACTTACGTAAACCTACTTGTCGACGAAAAATAAGTAGTATAATCGATTGATATGGTAAATATAACTTTGCCCCACCAAAAATCCCAACACAGGATGTGATATTGGAAAATGCAAGTGGCCTCATGGCAATGTGACGTAATGGTTAAGGTGTGGGGAGTAAACGCCACCTTTTGATGCTTGAAGTCCCGCGGTGGGATTGATGAGACCTGGGCGAGGTCGAAGTTGCAATCCAGTCTGGGCGAGAATACCTTTTGGGAAGCAAGGATATGTGAAATGCAAGGTCTAATCACATGATTGTGCGAAAATTCAACTAACGGTCGCCTTATCTCCATAAATGAAATAGAGGGAGGGGGGAATACACTTCATACATACACAATCTACTGGGAATCTCGAAAGCTTAATTATAAACGAAAAATAGTTTTAAAACGTCAAATCTCAGGCGCTTAGCAACCGGCATTTGTGGGACAATTGACATTCTGCTTTCGAGCGTTTCGCTCCCATCGACGAAGCTCCTTTTTTCAAGTTTGAAGAAGGCAGTTGCCGTCACTAATGCTTGATGTGGCCAATAATGCAAGTCTCGATTGGTAATTAATTGGAAAGATGGTGAGTTAAAGTGGAATTTATCACAAAAATCAGGTCCTCCCTTTAGGTCGACTCCGGTACACTCGCTATTCGTGACAGTGGAAAAGCAATTAAAAACTGGTATTTCTTGATGACAATAATCCAAGTAATTTCTACAAAACAAAACACACTACTTGTATCGGTAATGAGTAGATTTTCGCGAAATCGCTGGACTTTGTCGAAGAAACTGATGAAGGTCTGGCGGTGAATTGTCCCATAATGCTATGAGTAGGCCAAACGTTTCTAGTGAATTCCACTTGGACTTGCTGCTCGAATTGTATTCTAATTTCGACTGGACTGGACTGTACTTTCGACCTTTTCACTACGACTATAAGTAATGCTGTCGACTGTGATGGCAAATATATGTTCGCTTCGTCGGCCTGGTTTGCCCTGAGAAGCAATAGCACTTGTCGCAGAGCGATGCGGCAGAGTCAAAATAGAACAGTTGCACCACCGTGACCCGGGCTCGATCCCCGTTGAGGGGGCTGATTGGGCTCGGACGAGGGCGAAACTGCAGTCCAGCCAAAAGGAGAATAGCTTTTTGAAAGCAAGTTTACGAAAAATGCACTGACATAGTCAAGTCTTCTGGCGTCGTCAAGTCAAGATTTCGCTATTCTTCAACCTTCATCAGCTTAAACGACTTGGAGTGGG